TAGTATATTTCGGGGTGTAGTTGCTGGGGGTCCTTGCCAGGGGCCGCGGCCGCCCTTGGCGGCAACACCACCTTGCCGGCGTATTTTTTTTTTCCCCCCCCCCCCCCCCCCCGACCCCCCACCTTCCCCCCGACCTTCCCCACAATAGCATCCGTCCCCTTACCCTCACCCCGCCGCCTCCTTGAGCTTGCCAGCCTGCACGGGCGCCTCGTCGATGAAGTCGGGCACCTCGTCCTGCATGAAGCTCGGCAGCGCCGACTCGTGGCCGCCGAGCTCGCGGTCGAGGTCGACCTCGTGGCCGAGGGCCTCTAGCTCGGCGTCGAGCTCGGCCTCGTCGACGTCCTCGGGCACGTCGTAGCTGCGGGCGAGCGACTCCTGGATCTCGTTGCCGACGTCGAGCAGGTCGGCCATGTCGTCCTGCAGGCGCTCGATCCTGTCGATGTCGACCTTGCCGTACTCCTTGCGCAGGGCCTTGTTGGTCTGCTTGAGGGCATCGACCGTGACCATTGTGTTCTTGAGGTTGTCCTGCATGGTCTGGGCCTGCTCCATGTTCCACACCTGTGACTGCAGCTGGTCGCGCTGCGCCTCGTACATCTTGCGCCGCTGCAGCACCTTGAGCGCCTTCTGCTTGATGGCCGTCTTGCCCGGCCCGTCGCGCATCTTGCCCAGCTTGGTCTGGTACGCCGTCAGCTCCGCGTTGAGCGACGCCAGCTTGACGTCGATCGAGCTGATGCGCGTGTCGATGTTGCCGATGGCGGAGTCGAGCGTCGCCTTAGGTGGCTTGGCGCCTGAGGAGGATCCGAAGAGGCGGTTCATGGCTTTTTGTGCTTCTGATCGGTTGAGGTCCGTCTGCGCGGAGGGTATCTGTTGCGTCGGTCGGGTCTAAGAGGGTCTAGGACGTTTCGAGGATGGTTTACGTGGTTGATGTCTCGCTTGCTCAACTCATCAACTCATTTGTGTGGGCCGCCTGAAGTGGGATGTCACGCCGCCCAGAGCGACAAGGCTGGAGGCGCAAGGCTAAGGCTCGCATCAGCCAATCAATGTGACTTCCTTAAGCCCAGATAGCTGGTGCCCCACCGGAACCTCCCCGCCAAGCAACAAACATAGGTACCTAATTACTAGGGAGGAGACGCAAAGTTGATGTCGAACTATCTTTCCAACCACTTGATACAATTTCGAGCAAATATCAGGGCTTCCAAGGGATTCAAAGTCCGACAAAATGTCCATCCCTTTGAAAACAAAGAACTCCGTTTTCCGCGGATTTGCATTCCTTGTGGAGCAAGTTGCGTGATGCAGATTGGTTGTCACCATTCGTCCAACTCGTATTGTCCATCGGAAGGATAAGGTTACGAGATCGATGGAATGTCGTATCTCGTCGGCTTGACCTTAGGTAAGCCATCGGATATATTGGCGGGGTTGTCCGGCCGCCCAAGGCGTGATTTGGAAACGATGATCTCATATTTATACAAACCTTCTCAACGTCCTCAACCCGCTCTATTAAGGTCATTCTAGCACCTCAGTTCCCTTTTTGAACCAATACAAAAACCACCCTTGTATTGCCGGCAAGTAACCGGCATCAGCAGTCTCACACTCTCACTCCCAGCATCTTCAAAGCCATGTCAGCTCCCACGCCTAGCGTCCTCGTCGTCGGTGCCACGGGCAAGCAGGGCGGCGCCGTAGTGACAGCGCTTCTCAACCTGCCCGAGCCCCGGCCAAAGATCCTAGCCCTGACCAGGAACGCCGAGTCCGCCGGCGCCAAGGCCCTCGCCGAAGCCCACCCGGGCGCCATCGAGCTCGTGCAAGGCGACTCGACGGACCCGGCGCCCATCTTCGAGACGCGGCCCAAGGGCTCCATCAGCGGCATCTTCGTGGTGACCAGCCCGGGCAAGGTGGACGAGGAGAAGCAGGCCATCCCGCTCATCGACGCGGCCGTCTCGCACGGGGTCAAGCACGTCGTCTTCTCAAGCGTCGACCGCGGCGGCGACGCCCGCAGCTGGGACAACCCCACCGACGTCAAGCACTTCTACCAGAAACACAACATCGAGGTGCACGTGCGCGACAAGGCCGCCCGCGAGCCCGGGTCCTTCACCTGGACCGTCCTGCGGCCCGTGGCCTTCCTCGACAACATGAACCCGGGCATGTTCTGCTCCATGTTCACGGCCATGTGGGCGTCGGCCCTCTCGCCCGCCACGAAGCTGCAGCTCGTCAGCGTGCGGGACATTGGCGTCTTCGCGGCCAGGGCGCTCGCCAGCCCGGAGGAGTGGGCCGGCCGGGCCGTCGGCCTCGCCGGCGACGCCCTCACCCTCGCCGAGGCCAAGGAGCGGTTCGCAAAGGTCACCGGCAAGGAGCTTCCCCAGAGCTGGACGTTCCTCGGCAAAGCCGTGTTGTGGACGGTCGGCGACCTCGGCGCCATGTTTGCCTTCTTCGAGAAGGAGGGCTATGGGGTGGACATTGCGGCACTGAGGAAGGAGGAGAGCTCGCTGCAGGATTTTGAGACGTGGTTGAAGCAGAGTAGCAAATGGAAGGAGTGATTGGTTGGTTATCTCGTTGCTCGAATATGCGACATGTGCTTAGGGGATGGCGTTGGGTGATCGGATTGGGCTCCTTTGATGACGGATCTATTTTCTCTGTATTTTGGTGTCTACTCTCTACGAAAGGTGGTAGCAATGAACTCGGTATCAAATGACTGGATGCAGATGCCGCATACTTCCAGTCTCCCGCCGGCTACTGGATGACTTGGGTGCCTCACGCCTTAGAACTGTTCCACGGGAGATCAACTTAGCCGCAACATCTAGGTCCAGCATTTCCCGTTCTCATCTTCCCAGAGGGACGCGACACTGTGACTGGCGGACGGAAACCGCGGGGTCGGCAAGATGGCATGGCATAATAGCGGGATGGAGCATCGCTTGGACTACACTTGTCTGGGAAGGCAATGATGATGATGTGGAGGAGAGAGAGCCTGCCGGAAGCTCGGTTCATTGTTAGCTCGAAGGCCTCATAGAGCCGTGATGCGGTTGCCTATAGCTTGTTTATTGCAGCTCGGCGTAGTTTCCACTCTTGCCTTTTCCCATTCGACGCCCCATCTTATCCAAGGGGCAAGGCAAGGACGACGTTGACACACAGGCCCCAGAAACAGCCCACAGTTCCAATTATTGTCGTCAAAATGCCGGGCCGGCCCAAGATTCTCGTCTCAGACGCCCGAACCAAGCTTGCTTATGCGGGAATGCTATTTCTTTCTCCTTCGAGAAGCCCGTAAACTGGAGGTGCTGGATGAATCTAGGCCAGGCGTATTAGCTATGACTTGCAGGTCTCCGGGCAGGGACGGGGGAGGGGCAAATGGAAGGCAGTTAGGGAACAGAGAGAACAAGAAGCATGGTCTCAGACCACCCACCTCGCATTATCGACCCTCGGCTCCGTACAGATGCTCATGGTCCGATAGTCGGCGCAGAAGGCCCAATGCACGAGGCTAGACAGCCACGGCTGGACGCGGCCGCGCGCCCACTCCTCGCCGACGAAGACGTGGAAGCCGCGGTCCCAGTCGTCGGCGGCCGAGGCGCCGGCGAGGCGGCCGAGCGGGTCCTCCCTGACCCAGTAGATCTCAAAGTAGCCAAACGGCACGCCGTCCCACATGCCGATGACGGGGAAGCTGTGGGCCGACGACAGGGCGGTGGACAGGAAGTCGGGGACGTAGTCGCCCCAGAAGGCGCGAACCCGCGGGTTGGCCAGCCACATCTGCAGCAGCGACGTGTCGCTCATGAGGCCGAGGTGGGCGTGTACCGGCGGCCGGGGGCCTACGGGCCCCATGTACGGCACGGGCTTGGCCGAGAGCGAGGCCACGCGGAACGAGAGGTACTGCCCGGCCGAGGGGACGAAGCGCGTGTAGAAGACCTCGCCCATGCGGGGCGGCTTCGGCCGGATCGGGTGGCGGAGCTGATTCGTCGTCGTGTATTGCGTCGGGGCTGGCGGGTAGTAGGTTGGGAGGTGGCTCGTGCTGAAGAAGGGCCCCGAGGGGATCGAGGGCATGCTGGCGAAGGTGACCGCAGTCGACGCGCCGGGGACGTCGGCGGCCTGGCCCGGGAGCGGCGAGGGCAGGCGCGTAGGCGAGCCCGGGCGGCTGGTCACAGGGGACGCTTGGTATGAGGGCGTGCCTCTGGTGGTGGGCTGTAGCGTGAAGAGGAAGAGGCGGGCGGGGATCTGCCAAAACATCTTCTGGGATGCAAACATGTGCGACCATCCTTCCCCGCTGTCCTCGATCGTGGTGCCGACGGTAGAGTCGAGGCTGGCAATCAGCCCCATGCGCTCCAGCTTCGGCAGCACGTTCCGTCCACGAAACATGCCGTCCCTCTTGATGTGTATCCGCCACTCCCCGCGCGGTTTGCCTGCCTCGGGCGTGCCCCGCGAGGCTTCCGTGTCCAGTGTCGCGTGGGGCACGGGTTGGTGGAAGTACCAGTAGAGCGTGACCCAGAGCATCATGGCTATCTGCCGGCTCGGGCTGGCAGCGGGCTTGAAGTCGTTGCTGGAGGGATTCGAGATGGACGAGATGAAGAGGTGGTCACTGTGGAGGGTTGGCTTCGTAAACGAGTGCGTGTACGGCCTGTGCCACTTGGGACTGTCGCCGCCGCCGCCGCCGCCGCCGTCCTCGTCCATGCCATCGTCTGGCGCTGTGGGCTTCTCGTCGCCGCGGTCGTCGCCGTCATCGGTGTGGAGGACAACGGTCCATCCAATCGGAAACGCGTTGGGGTGGGTGTTGAGCTCGTGAGACTTGAAGAAGAGTCCGGCAAAGACGGGAATCACGGTGAAGTTCTGCCCGTCGGGCAGGTGGATGATTTTAGGATTCATGTTGCCGCCGCACCCGGTATCCGACACGAGGGGGAGAGCGAGGGGGAGGAGAGCGAGGGGGGGAGGGAGGGGGAGTAATGGAAAGGGGCAGAGAGATGGACACAGCGGGACCAATTCAGATCAATCAAACCCGGCGACGACCGCCTCGGAAAGAATTTCTAGAAGCCCATCGCTGCTCTATCATTCCATATTCCCGGCGTCGAGTCCCAGCTTGGAGTTGTCTAGATCCTTGAGGGGGCGCCGAGAGTGGGGTGACGTAAATCACCAGCGCCCCACTCAACTAGGAACGTCCCGAGGTGGTGGCATGATCACCATAACCGCTTCATGACCCCACCAACTCAATCCTTCTCTGTGATGCCCCCGCGCGTTTTCGTAATAGACCGATTCCAACGGCGTTGTCCCAAAGTTTTATTGTCTTCTCTCGAACCTCAATCCCACTCAGCGCACCCAATCATCCCTCCGTATTAGCAATAGTAATGAGGGTAGCCGCCTGAATAGGTACCTGGCATGGTAGAGCGTTGTTGTGTTCTTTTCTCGTAACCGAGGACCAGCCGACCAAGCTAGAGTTGTGGCAGGAAGAAACAGTAAAACAGGCTATTAATAATTTCGGCTCCTTTGGAGCGCACATTCCGGATCTGGATATTGTCAGTTGAAGAGGGGCTTCTCTTGAAGCGTCGAGTCAACAAAGGCTAGGAACTAACTCGCTCCCGCCATCTCATTCTTCTGAAACGTTGAACCTCGTTGCCGCTCTGTCAAAGGTCTCCAATCTTATCTGGGAGAAGCCACTTAGCAAGTAGGAATGGACAGGTTAGCCACGGCGAGGAATCACGTTGAGTATGGTCCATCGTCAGGTATCCTTGGCATTTGTTTCGCTTTTGGCTCAGCAACTCTCATCTGAATCTTGACAACTCATAGCTTACTAGGTATATCGTACATACCGCTCCAATACCCCTCCTGAGGACTACTTGGCAGTTTGTCTTCGTTTATTGTTGTTCTGGCCTGGCTAATAATGCGGCACAAGCAAATGTTAAGGCGTGTTTCAACTGTTTGTAGCCCCAGAAGCTACGTCAACATGTCCCACTCCGAGAATAATAGGGGCTTCACATCGAGACTCCTACAACCAAGAGTCCAACGGCACGAGCCTTTGAAATTGAGTGGCTCATTATGCGTCACGAACAGTCGGTGAACCTTAATGGTGAAGCGGCAATATCCTACCTAGACTCTGCAAAAATGGAATACATATTATTAGAACTATTGCACTTCTTTTTTGAAGCATCAGTTACAAGACTAGACCTCAAACCTCAACCTCATCTAAGGTCTTAAGCAAGTCACTTGCGTTCTTCACTCATTAGCAGCGGCAGTAGACGGCAAGAGTCTAAAACTAAGGTGAATACAGAAAATCATTACAATCATCTTGACGATTAACCTCAGGTCACTCCATGTTCCAACCCATTGTCGTTGCTTTAGGCTATCTACCTATATAATATGGACCAGGGCGGTAGTCCGGGTGCACAGTGTGGGCCTTAGCTATTTAGACGGACCATTGGGGACATCTCGTCCAATCATGCGAGCTGCTGTCGATTTGACGCCCGACTCCATCGCAATCCCAGAGACCAAGAGATGGTGGCATAACCCGACTGCGATTCTCTCCCTTCCGTGTCCAAACTCCAAGATGGCGTTTCCAAACATTTATTCGCACCGGAAGGTGGCCGAAACAAGCGCAAGGGCGTGCGAGATCTGCTTCAAGCTCAGCACAAGTGTCCTGGTCACGCCAGAGAACAAGGTGGGGGGGACCGAGAAGCTCAAAAAGTATGGAATCTCACCGTGCGCCTAGGACTTCTTCTATGTCTGCCCTAGCCACCTCAGGGACAAGGGGTTCTGCACCCCGATCATCGATCAGGAGGCAGTCGAGGCCAGGAAGAAGAAGGAGCTGGAGGACGAGGTGGCTCGGGTGAAGGCCGAGTACGAGGAGAAGCAGCGCAAGAAGAAGGAGAAGGAGAAGGAGAAGAAGGACGGAGAGGGCAAGGGCAAGGGAAAGGGAAAGGGCAAGGACACCAAAACGGACGATGACAAGAGCAAGGACGGGGAGGAGGAGGGCAAGGTAGGTGGTGCTCACTCTTCCTCGAATATCGCTTTAAACTCGCTGACGTTGTGCCTCTCGGGGAAAAGTCAGAAACAAAATCCCCTCTGGCCGAGGAAGAGCCCCGTGTATTTGAGCTGAAGAGGTCTCGTTTCCGAAACCCCGAGCCCTTTCATCGGCTCTCATGCGAGCCCCTTGATTGACTCTTTTTTTTTTTTTGCAGGACATTTTATACGCAGCGCGTCGAGAGGAAGCGGCAAGCCGAGATGGCGAGGCGAAATCGTGAAAGGTTGCAGAACCCGACCTTCTTCCCTTCGGTCCCAAAGGGCCTACCATGAATGGCAGTTGGCGAAGCAAGGCGATGGACTAGTCTAAAGCGAGTCCAGTGAGTTTCTAGAGGCTGGTAATGGAGCACCTAAACCCAAGATTTCAATCGGGTAGTCCAGGTTTGGCGAATCGGCGAAAACTCGGCATGCTTCACAATGGACTGCGATTTACAACTGCCTGTTTTTACTATGCAAAGTAAACGGAAGTGAGGGAAAGAAACCTCGATTGGGGCATCAGGTCTCTGGTTTTTGCCCCTCGTCCTGAAATGTTCGAGGTGGGCTCCTTTCCCCACAAGTTCGACTCCAGATGTTACTATCTTACCCTCTGACTAAACCTATGCTAGTCTTTTATAAACGAGGAATGAATACGTTTCTGCATTGCGCCAAGGAGTCTTAGTCTGTTGTTCAGGGATCAAAGGTGCCGACAGCGGGCATTGGGCCCTGCCGAAGATCCCCGACCTCGCCGACGGGAACGAGATATATCGCCAACATCCAACTACTTATCCTATGTTGCTTACCAAGACCACCCTCTAGTGCACAACCACCCTCCCCGAATTGCGGAGAGATGGGAAATAGGTCACGCAGATAGAGCAATACCTTTCCATATTCTAGTCTTTCTTTCCGTTGCACCCAACATCTCCGTATGACCCTCCTTTAATCATGCATGTACTGTACGTCGTGTGTATGTATGTCTCTCTCGCTCCGTGTGTGTGTATACCTGCCCCCCTCCCTCTGCTCCTACTATCTTATTAGGTTCTTTTCCTTGCGAACAACCTTTGCAACGGACTTTTCTTTTTGTTGGTTCTCTTTTCTCTTCTTCAATTCAACCAGACGCTCGCATCACGGTCCGGCCAGCTCGGACTCAACTGACGCAATAAACTCACCCCGCTTGGGCACTGCCTCTCTGCAAGAACCCAGCCAGCCAAATGGTGTGTGCACGCGGTATTCAGCCGTTCGTGTGGTAGGTATATATGCACATACAATACACCTAGATGGGCATTGCCCGTAAGCGGACTAGTGCTTACCCCTGCTTACAGGTCAGCGGCAGCAAGTGCCCGGCGCCTACCAGCTAATATCTAGTATTCCCACACTAATAAGTCCGGCTTAACCATGTGGGTGGAAAGTGGGCAGAGAGCTTTCCCTTGGTAGCCTGTCAATCCTTCCATTACTGGGCTTGCTGGGGCAGATGGCGCGCATATGGCTTGTCCTTCTGCCTAGTGGACGGGAGGGACCTTTGCCGAGCCGGGTGAAAAGGCTTGCTGCTGCGAAGGAGTTCACAGGTATCAAGATAATTCTCAGATTTCTATCAGCGTGAGACCACTCAGCCTCCTTGGACAAAGTAATTCTAGCTCAACTCTTCTTGCGGCTGGCTTGGGCATTTGGAGAGGGGAGGTGGGACATTCGGAGCCGAGCCTAACGGTCGGCGCGTCAACGGCTCGGATCTGGAGACCCTTGGGGGTGGAGGATCGACGAAAGAAAGCCATCCGTTTTGCCATGTCCTTCCTCGAGACGGACATTTTCAGAGAGCAAGCGTCACTGTCAGCGCACCTGCTTAGGCTCTGACATGCATCTTGCCATTCGAAGTCACGGGTATCATGGTCGGGAATATTACAAGTAACACCCACAGGCATTTGGCATGTCGTTGGAAAACAGGAGAATTGGTTATCGATGACGTTGGGTGTGTGTGTGTGTGAGCCCCCGACCACCGAATCGAAAAGACTCCTGGGCTGATGCAACCACCCAAGATCACACGAGTTACCGCATCGGGTATCCCCGTAGCCCGTCTCTCAGCCCTGCACCTGAACCCTGTTCCTTCCATTCTTCTCAAGGGTCAGGTTCAGGCTTAGTCTCCAAGTTAGCGAGGGTAATTTAAGTATTTACGCCGTGCTGACGGGGGGGTCAGCGAGGGGGATGCGGCCACACCCCCTCCCCCCTCCCCCCTCTCCGTCTGAGACAAGTCGACAAAACGGACAGGGAAGCCAGTAGGGCGAGCGATGTGGGCGTAAGCCCTAACCAGATGGGATGTTCGATTGGGAGGGGGGTTCCCGCTAATCCACGTCGTCATGGGTCAGAGTCCAGTCGTCGGTTGCAGGGCCAGGCTGCTAGGTATTGGGGGTGGATGGAACGAACTGTCAGTGCTGACCAGGACCCGGGGGAGGGGGGGCGCGCGGAAGGAAGAGCCGGGGTGTGTGAAGACGTCAGCGGACTAATTGAGAACGAGCAAAACGAAAGAGCCCGTGTCATGCTCGGACCAAACGGCAGATCTGGCGGGTTAGGTAAGATGGCCTGGTCACAGTGTAGATCCGGAGAGTAAGCAACCGTGCCGATTTCTCTCCTCCACGACTGTATTGCTGACACGACGAGGATGACCCCGTGAGCCGATGACAAAACATTCGCAAGAGCTGCGGTGAGAACATGGGGGGGAAAAGTAATGGGGGGGGTATCGATTCAGTTCACCGGTCATAGATTCTCCTTCCTAGAAACAGCTCCCAACCCGGGCGGCAGCCGGATCCCCAGAGCTGCCATGCGGTCGGCCTCGGCGCCGAGCACGGCCCCACGACCGGGGCCGGGCGCGGCAGCACCGCCCGGACGGGTAACGACGCCGTCGACCTTGCTCCTGTGCAGCGAGAAGGCGGGGCAGACCCACTCGCCGCAGCCGCACTTGAACCCCTGCCAGGTGTACCGGCCGATAGAGGCCCCGCACTTGGCGTTTGGGCAGGCCAGACGGCCGTCGAGAACGCCCTCCTCGAGGATGGGGCGCATCCACGACATGGGCTCGACGAAGAAATGCGGACAGGACGCCGCCTTCGGTCCCTTCCCGCCGCCGGCCCCCCGGTGCGGTACCACAAAGGGCTTCGTCGCCAGCACGCGGCGGCACTTCTTGCACCGCAGCTCCAGCCCGGGCCCGCCGCCGCCGCCGCCCTCCTCCTCCTCCTCCTCCTCATCCTCATCCTCAAACCTCAACCGATCAGGCGCTCTCCCGATCCTCGCGCTCTCCTCCACCTCCCTCCGGTAAGCCCACCGCCTGTATAGCCTGTTCCTCTCGACGGCGTCGTCCGAGCCCGCCGGGCACCCCATCCCCCACCACAGCGCCAGCTGCCGGACGAACCCCGGGTTCGGCTCGGCGATCCCGCGCGCCCGCCGCACCCACTCGATCGCCCGCCCCACCACCGCGAACGCGTCGTTGTCGTCGTCGTCGTCGTCATCGCCATCTTTACCGCCTCCTTCCTTGTCGTCGGCTCTCCTCTTCCTCCTGCCCCAGCCGGCGTTGGCGTCGGTGTCGGTGTCGGTGTCGCCTGCACCGCCGAACCGGTACGGGTACTTCCACAGCAGCCACGCGACGACGGCCGTGACAGAACGCGACTTGCCCATGGCGCAGTGGACGAAGACGGCGCCGGCCGGGTCGGGCCCGCCGCTGCCGTCGGTGTGCGAAGGGGGATTTGCCGGCGGCGAGGCAAGGCGGAGGCGGGCGAAGCGGGCGGAGTCGGGGGTGGACGACGGGTCTGCGGGCGGGGCGGGTGTGATGGCGTCGTCGTCGTCGTCGTCGTCGTGGGGGTTTATTGCCGGGGGAGTAGAGGAGGTTCTGTTCGCGAAGGCGGCGTCGCCGTAGAGTCCGCGCTCGATGAAGCGGACCATCTTGGGGAGGTGGACGAGGATGTCCTGGTCATCCATATCGTCGACGTCGACGCTGAGATGGGTGTACTTGTCTTTGAACTCGTCCATGTTGGCGAACGTGTACTGGATGACGGAGAGGATGTGTGTTATCTTCTTTTCTTCGAGCAGAGACGGCCGGCGGAGGGCGAAGATCCTTTTTAGACGACATGGTTAGTGACGTGACTTCCGGATGGGTGAGGGCGAGAGAAGGATAGAGAGGGGGGCGTACCCGCCAACATAGAGATCTTCCCTGCCCGAAATCCTGGAAAGCGCCATCTCCCTTTCGAATTTGCTGCGGCGCCTTGATGGTACGCCAGCGGAAATGCGACGCGGGGTAATCGAAGCAGCTGGGTTTCCGGAGAAGAATTATGACCTGAAAGCCGGAGGACTACCTAGATATCGTTGAAGTATGAACCTCGTTCAGCAACTGCTTTGCCGGTTGTGACGTACAGGCGAGCTATTTCTGCGCCGTCTCAGCTCCGAACTCAAACGGGGGCGTTTGTTTGTTCTAATTGAGGGGCTCGTCGGGGACTTTTTCACTCTCTTTTTTTCTTTTGTCTGGCTTCGACAATTTGCCCCACCTATTCGGAATACAGGGCCGAATTTGGCGTGTGATTGGCCCATTCTACGTCCGGGTACGTATACGGTAGCGGTCCCTCAGCGGTAGGGCTGAGCATGTGAAGAAGAGTGCCAAACTCAATCTCCATTCTAGAAGCCGGCCCGAGATGTTAAAAATAGCCGAGCACACACAACTAGTTAAACTTGGAGCTTGTCTCATCATGCCTATTCGTTTCCTTGCTAGGTGGCTAGAGATGCTCTCATCTTTGTTCCTCATTTCCGTCGTCTCCCAGTCGAATATTCGACCCCTCCACTCCCCTGACAAACATGCTCGTCTAGCTGCAACAGTCACCTACCCACCTGCTTGTACTTGTACCGAACATCAAGAGCTCCTTCGCCGCCGCCATCGAGAATGGGCAGGCAAAGGGCATGGAAATGATCCCAACCCGAGAACACCAGAGTCCGGCCTTAGTAAAAGGAAAATTGAAAGCGCCAATCCGGTTAATGCAGGGTCGATGTTCGTGGCTCGTGACCGGCTTGAAGGACCAAAGACGCCACCAACCAGGTTCCTGATCCCAATGTGCAGCCGATAAACGGCCAAGTCAATTCGCATTCCTCCCCTCTCCTCCTCCTCTCCTTCTCTCCTCCTCTCCTTCTCTCCTCCTCTCCTTCTCCGTGCCCACTTCTAATAGCAAACCTAAGGGAATAAAACAATGCTTCTAAGTGTGCCTCGAGGTAGTTAAGGCGGGTATCCCTCGTTGCTGGGTGCCGCGGCAATTGGGGGGGGATGCGATTATTGAAAATGAATGAAGCAAATATCAGCATGAACAGAGAGAAATTGAAGCCATAGGTCGGACTGAAGGATGAAGAGACCCAACAAAATACAGGGTTATCAGTACAGAAATCGGAGTCGGTTTGTACTTGGCGGGAAGTGCGGGAGGAGACGGTGTATGGACGCCAGGCCGGTCATGTCGCAGTGGCTTGAAAGCCGGAGCTTCCATCAACGTCCATGGGATGACCCTGAGCGGGAAGCGGGATGTCCTCGGAGGGCACGCATTGCCAGATTGGCCGTTGATGGATTCTTGTGGCGTGAAGCGATGAGAGAGTCGAGGGACGGGTAAGCACCCGGACCAATCATGATCAAGGCGCAGTTCACGGACCAAGCGGTGGCATGGCGAAAGAAACCAGCGCCGTGCGCCGCATGGGGAGGTGCGTATCGGGGATCAAGGCGGTCGGAGAAAGCAAGCGTCAAGCTCTGCGCAACGATGGTGCCTGCGCAGGAAAGGCAGAGAAGGTGGGATGAAAAGCAAGCAGTCGGACTAGCTGTTCGTTGGCATAGAGGTTGTCATGCACTGGTGCGATGCGTTGCTGAGCTGGCGAGCGCCATGCAAGTCTGTAAATCTGCAAATCTGCATGAGTATGGCGCAGGCCTGGGCGTGCATGGAGAGCAGGTGGGTTCGGTGGACAGCCAAAAACGGAGCTGTTCAACCATCCCTGCACCCCGTACCTCTGTGGGAAGCTTGGGTCAAGGTGGCCCAAGGTAGGTAAAGAAGAAGACAGTGGAAGATGTCCAGTCCAACCAGACCCCCCACCAAATGCGTCGCAGCTCCATCCGACGTCGGACACAAAGCCGCAGCTTTCAAACCGACTTTTTCCCCGTTGGTTTGCATCCCGCTCGGCTTGTAGGATGCGGCATTCCCACCACAACAGGCAATTGAGGAGCCACACAGGCAACAATATTGTTGTTGTGTGAATCTGTAGCGATTTTCCGTTGGGCCTCCCCCCAAAAAAAAAATCTCGAAACGCCTTGGGTAGAAGGACGGGAATTGCCAGGGCACAGCGCAAATCTTTCGGTTCAGCCGCGATCCCTGTTCTAGTAATGGTGCCTTGCTTCTGGCTGCGTCGCTGGCCCGCATGTTAAATCCCCCCTCCTCGTTCGGCTATTTGTCGTGGTCGTCCCAATGGGCATCCGGCTAGCCTGATCCCGTCATTCCATAGTTGGTGGCTAGAGCCCGGCCAATTTAGGGGGCGGCGGTTCGACCTCTTCCCATCTCCTCTCTCCCACCAGAACCTCCTTCATCATCTGGCCCCCACGGGTGGGTCTTCTTCCATCATGCAGGCGTTCTCCAGCATGTTCGTCCACTTGCCACTAGTGCCAGCATGGCTGTGTTTGAGGTGCTGCCGGAAATGGTCGGCGCGGTAGAACTTCTTGCTCGAATTGCACTCCCTGAACTTGTGTATATCCTGCAGGTGTCGAATCCGAGCTTCCCAATCCTGATCGCTCGCGAACCGCCCCTGGTTTGGTGGCCCAGGGGGCCCAGTCCGTGCAAATTCCTCACCGCAGTAGCCGCAGCTATCGGCCTCCCCAGGTCGTGTCGTGCTCTCATGGAAGGCTCGTTCGTATCCTGTCAAAGCCGAGCACGACCAGCTGTGCCGCCGAACGTGGAGCGAATTTTGATGCCGCTCTGCCTCGTTCTTGTTCTTAAAACGGTTACCACAGAAGGAACACTCATACTGCTTCTCAGCTTCGTGGGCGCTGTTGGACTTGAGAATCAGCAAGGGGTTCATTTGGCTGACCATGACTTGTCACAGCTGTCACATTGTAGTAAAAGAAGGGGGGAGGGGTGGCAGTTGTGTCCTGGTGTGGCACTAGAACATGGACTTGACGTACATCAACTCTTCTCGTGTCTCAAACTTCTTCGGTTTCTTCGGACAGCATTCGCACATGTGAAAGGCGTGCATCTTTGTGGCGATGCTGTTGTTGCTCTTCAGCGGCTCTGTCAGCTTCCTTGGCGACACCATAACTCGATTGCCTTGCGCTACGGGGGGGAGATCGCTGAGTGTCCTCTGGTGTTGTTGCTGCTGGATTGCGGCTGCAAGGCCCATCGACGAGCTACGCGAGAGGGCGGCAAAGCTCCCGTGGGTTCCAAATGGGCTTTCATAACTGGGTACATCAGTAGGCGACACTGGCGAACGCCCCGGCGGTGATCTCTGCCCGTATGACGCTATACTTGTCATGCTGCTGGCTGTTGTTAAGCCCATGAAACTGCTGGCACTACGCCCGGCCGACGAAACGCTCGAGACGGAACTCTGGGGCATAGGCGTTAGCCTCGGCGTCGGGGATCCTCGGGAGACACAGGCTGCCCCGTCCCGTCGTCGGAAGAGATCACTCGGCAACGGTGGGTCGTCGCTTGGTGGCGAGGACGCACGGCGTTTCTGGCCCCGGTCTCGTAATTCCCGCTCACGTTCCCGTATTGTATCCTCGATCTTTAACATGCGGAGACGGGATGTCTCCTCCATGGGGAAGTCCACATCGTCATCCCTCATGTCATAACTCCCCTGTGTGGGTATCGCAAAGTCGTCGGGCAACGATCCGCTGTTTGTCCTCGTGCTTCGCGGGTCCGGGGACCGCTCGAGATCACCGGGTTCTGTGCCAACCGGTGACCGGTAGTCGGCCGAGTGACGGCCAAAGGGGTTGCTGTGAGGAGAGGCTTCCGAGACGACTGGTGTCTGGGTGAAGCGATGGGGCGAATCTAGAATGGGTTGGGGGAGGTGTCGCGATCTAACCGGGAGCGAGAGCAACTTGGGCAGCTCCATCGGCGTAGGCCGGGTTGGCCTCGTATCCACAGCAGACGCGCTGAGGTTTGTCCACCGAGACGGTGAGCGATTGTCCACCGACCTCCTAGAGTTCAGCTTGCTCAGCATGGAGCTGTCGATCCCCGAGTCAGGAGCTGACCGGTAGGCGTGATGCATACTGAATCGCGGCGAGTTTAGGGTCCTGAAGGGGGGGTACCAAAGTCAGTATGTGAGGATCCTAAGACCACAGTCGAAGCAGAATGGACGTGGGGCTTTGCTCTGTTCTGCCCCCCAAGGCCGATCAAAATGCATGCGAGCATACGAACCTAGCGGAGCCGATACTGTGATATCCTTCATCCGAGTCGTGATGGCCGAAAGGATTGTCCCTCATCTTATAGTGTTGCCTGGTGTCCTCCGGAAAGGGGTCATCTGGCTCAGCCCGGCGAAAATCTCGGGGATCTCTGACGTCGGGAAGACCTTCGATAGGAGGGTATTTGGGCGGCGGCAGCGGAGGTGGCACGTCGCCGGTATGGTTTGCGGAGCCGGGTATCGACATGGCAATGGAGGACGAGAGAGGTGGCGAGGGTTTGGAAGTCCTCGAGCGTCCAAAGTCACTCGTGCATATGGAGGGCACGCCACCGCCGTACTCCCTCCGTGTATAAGACGGATTGACTTCCATTGTGCTGTTGCCGCGTGCGCGTGGTGCAGATTCCGTCGCGAAGTGTCGGAGGGGGAGGACGCGAGGCGAGGAGAATGCCAGCTGAAGGTGCTCGTAACCGCTATTGCCACAAGCGTGAAGGCTGGCCAGAGACAGCTGAACAAGGAGCCACTCAGCCTGCGAGAATGGCCATCAGCAAAAACAAATGACGCAAAGCGGCCAGGGCAAGGAATTCCCTTACCAGATCCTTGGCAACCCGCAGGCATTTGCCGAGTCCGTATCGATGCAGGCGTCGTCGAAAATATGGAAGAATGCAAGATGATCGAGTTCTGCAGGATCGGCTTGTCTCGGTTCGCCCCTGTCCAATACCAACCTAGAGCCTAGTGGCGAATGCAAAATAAAAGGATCCTAGGAAAAGGGAGAGACGACAAGAGTCGCTATCAGAGATCTAGATGACCATTGGAATGCGACGGATGGCGAAACAGGGAGGAAAATGCCCCAGGAGTTCCGTGAATCAGAGGATGGCCGACCTGGAGGGAGGTCGCAGAAAGGTAATGCGGATGTGGAGCTGGACAGGCAGGGACGGGAGCAATCCAAGGATCCAAGGATTGATAAACAATCCCCGTCAGCTACTTTTCCCAGGGAAGGCGAAAATAGTCGGCCTTGGTACCGAGCTAATAACGTAAGAGTCCAGACCGTTATGGGAGGCGTTAAGGCGAGATGGGAAGGGGTAAAGAAAGAGTGACAGGGTACCAGGTAGGAGGAAGATGAACCTACCTTACCAAGAGAGGTAGCCGATGAGAGGGGAGAGTGGCAGTTGAGCATCTAGGTAGGTACCACACAACGCATATTCCCATGCACCGTGCAGGACAGCAAGCAGTATTGAACCAACAGATATGTTTCAAGAATATAAATGGATACAGACCCAAAGCAAAGAAGAAGAAGAGGAGGCTACAGATGCCCACGGGGTTTGCATCCAATCTTCCACGGATCAGCTTACGGGACGATGTTGGGTACTTCGTGCGCAGCGGAAACATGGAGATACGTTAGGTATTTGGGCAGGTACTTTGAAAACGGACTAGTGGTACGGACGACTAGGGTGGGTAGTATTGCGTAGGGGGGCGCGCCCTGCCTTATTTCAAGCCCTAACAGGCTACTCATGCACACGCCCCCTATGCCCCTCAACCCAACCACTTCGGGAGCGACTAATGCGCAGCGGTGGGGTGTGTTTATGGGGTTATCCGCTGGGCTGGTTCCACATTCCTTCTCCGGCCCATTCCCATCAAAGTACGGAAGTAAGAATTACCTAAATACCCGCGTCCTTTTTTGAGTTAGTTCCGGATAGCATGGTAGAATTAATCGGGGAGCGGAAGAGGCCCATACTACGTAAGGAAGAAGGCTGAGCATGTGGTACCTACGCATGTACACAGAACTGTGTGCATCCCCAGTGACATCCTTTGCTAAATGGTGCTCAGGCATCGATCGCTTGGTGGCATAAGGGGAAGACAACGGGCGAATTGTGAAATCGAGACTGATCGAGCGGTAGGTGCGGGCCAGGAATAGAAGGCGCATTCCTAGTCCGCATGGCATTGAGGGAATGATGCGAAGGCAAGATGACAGAATCCCTCTGACCTAGGTAGGTATCTACCTACCTACCTCTTTCCTTTAGGTATTATTAGGGGTCAGAGGGTGGGATCGTGCCTTCCCTTGGTACCCTCTGCTGGGGCGATCTGGCCCCAGGTATTCCGTAATCCGTACGTACCTACCTACCTAGGTATTTGCCATTCAAAGGCTAAGGCGTGCCTTGGTAGCCTGAAGGAGCCTTCCTTCCTTCCATCTTCGGCTTCCTTCGTTGTGCTGTCACCGCCCAGGTTGGCCGTCACCCCAGATCTATTAGCCCCCTTTTCGCCCGAGCGCCTTGTTGTGAATTTCGGCACAAAATGTAATCCCTCAATCTATCGACTCCTTGATCGGCCGCCCGACCTTACATTGGGCAGGCAACTCAGGCGTCAGCAGCGCCAGTCTTACGCGACAGACTGCCTAAAAACATCCGAAAGGTTGGGTGTGGAGCGCGGAATAACTACGTGCGTATCTTCCTCGCAAGGTACAGGTACTGGAATGCGGGACCGGATTACCCAAGTTGGCCACCTACCTGCCTCCCATCCCTCAGTGGCATGCACTCCCAATTCCAATCCGCATGTTTTCACCGTCGGCCCGGGAGTCGATAGGTCAGATAGCCTGGGGTGTGCAGTTTTGAGAAGATGGGAAGGGATAAGTAGGTAGGTACCTAGGTAATCTGTAATCTTTCTGCATCTTCGTTCTATCAGCCCACCCATCGTCAGCCCTTTCCTAATAAGCCGGGCCGGCGGCAGGGAACCTATGGGCCTATGGGAATTACGTACCTAGTTCGACACACTCGCAGGACGGGATCGCACATGGCCACATTCCATGTCCTCTGCCCTACAGGGTCGTCACAGCGCGGGAACACAAGACCATTTCGAGATTGTCCCCTCCCCCCCCTGCCCGCCTGCCACCCGCTCACACCTCTTTCGACAGCCAGAATATTACCACGCGGCAAGACGCAGATCCGGGTTAGGTTATTATTATACCTCCCAGGCACAAACAACAGGCTATTATAGTATTATTTACTACAGCCGCAAGAGGAAATGCAGCCGATGACTGAGGATGACAAAGAGCTCTCGCGCTGTGGCTTTTTGGCTCGTCGCTTGGCCAGATTCGCCCTGATCCGCAGTGGTCATTTCCCGCGATACCAACGCTACAGAGCTAACTTGGGTGTTCGGATGGCGGGGTTGTCCTCCTTAATGCCGTCATCCCTGCTCGCCTGCTCGCCTGCTCACGAATCTGGTTAGTTTTCACCACCCACGTTGCGGGGCAGGGGAGCCCTTTTGGCGATCATTGTCAGTCACGTCCCTTTTTCTCTTTTCCTCTTTTTTTTTTTTTTTTTGTTCCTCTGGCTTTATCTATCTTCCCCCCCACCCTCCCTGGCCCCTCCGTTTTTATTTCTCTCTGTAATAGTCCTTTGCCAAGGTCTCGCAAGCCTCTCCTCAGCAGTTCGCCAAGGAACTCGCTGCAATACACCATGGTAAGACCGGCATGTTGCTTACAACGCTAGAGACTCAGGTGACCCGAGCCAACTCGCCGAAGTGTGCCAACCTTGGCTAGGAAAATGGCTAAGAATATGCTTGGCAGAGGAACTATTAGCAAGTGGTTTTGGCTAATCTGCCATCGGAGCACTCAGCCCTACAGAACGAACGAAAGTACCAGTCTACCTTACCTAAGGTACGGACGGAAACGGATGCACTGCAAAGTGTGTACGGCGTAATTCCCGTAACCCCAGCTGTCATGGATGTGGGCCCTCGTGCTTACTGCGCAGACATCCATCCCGAATGCCTCATCTAAACAGACGCAATGGCCCTCTCTTGTGAGTTCTGTCCCATATGCCCTCGAACGTTGGTCCAATACTGGTGCCCATGATGGTTATACGCCGATGCAGGCCGACTGCTTGCTTGCTTGCTTGCCCTTCTCCGATTCGCTCAGCGACATTTCCAACGAACCTTTGAGATGTCGGGGGGGCCAACAGGAACCGGCCCAATTCTAATAATATTGCACTTTCTGCACACGCACTACAACCCTACCCAACCCGTCGCCAACGGCGACGACGATTATAGACAGGTACCGTGTGCCAGCCAACACCCGCGACAAGATATCTTTAGGGCCTGAGACTCTTGGCGCCGACAATCTGCATGGTTTTTGCTTCCAGCACAGACAGCGCAAGTGAAGGTGGGAGGGGGAGGGGGAGGGTTGACAGGGAGAACCCTGAGCCTTCTTGTGGATATCCGCGGTTGCTGATCACTGATCGCTGTTGCGTTCGACTTCCCGTCCATGTTATTGCTGGCACAGGAGTCGTCGGCACGGAGAGGGTCCCCAGCATTGCGCCGATGGCATTACCCACCTCGCCAGGCTGCGGGACATTGAGTGCCGACCCTCTCTCTTCCGTATACGGTAACAGTTCCGATGCCATTGCAATTCGTAGGCCAACGGCCCCCCACCCATCTAGGCAGCACCATTCGGTGCATCCCACATGTCTACAACACCCACCAAAGAGTTCGTTGATCATCCTGCCGCTTTCGGTCGCTCGTCCCTGTTCTAGTTACCAGACGGCAGACAGGCAGCAGAAAGACGCGCGCGTACGGAGCCCCCAGCCGAATGTCCCTCACGGCAAAAGACAGGACGAGGTGAAACGCGATGTCGCACCGAACCCCCCCGCAGTCGCCGGGCTCTCAGGATAGCCAGTCGTTTCGTTCGTCGGCGCACATTTGCCAAGCTCTGCCGGCAACTACTGCGAATAGGTACTGCACAATGGTTTACTGAATGCAATACGGTAGGGGCCAGGGCTGCCGGCAAATTGCCCATACCCGAGAGGTAGCACGGAAGCAGCAGGTTCTCCTGGGCAAGCAAGAACAAGAGGTACGCCTGCCAGGTTGGGTGACACCGTGGGAGCGATGCCACTCATCTCTCGATCCGCGGTTGCACGTCTCTGGCCGGTTACACGAGACGGATGGGCATGACAATCCCCTTCCCGCTGTCTTGGACACGAGGGCGAAGGCGTAAGGCAAAGCACAGGTGGTGGCGGACACGTGTGGAAGGGAAGGGGGGGGGGGAGGGAAGTTATTACCCTCCCCTGGCTGCCTGGCAACCAAGGAGACGATGACTTTCGGGGGCTCTGTCCCGTACCGTCAGAAAACTCGGCCTCATGATGATGTTCTGCTCGCCACAGCGGTCACCCACCACCCAGTATTTCCAGGGGCCATGTGAATGGTCAGGTCTCGGCGTGTCCCGCCGAGGATGGAAGAGTTGACCGGCGATTGATTGGTTCCGGTTCGGCACTGAGATCAAGGAATTTTTGTAGGAACCATGGATCGAACCCTGGTCATTCGACTGGCAGGATGCCCCTGAAATGCATCACCAGTCGATCTTGTCAGATCTCTGAGATGGTGTGTTTGGTCAAAAATTATCGCCACCCGCTGCACCCCACTGGGAGCCGGGATCACGTCCAGAGTAGTGTTAAATTGGAGATATGCACAATGGCCAAGAACTCAGATCTGTCACGGGGAAACTGGTATGATTCAGCTCTCATCGACTCCGGAGGCGGCTTCGCTTGCATCGTCGGTCAACATCAGGGAGGGTCATGTATTGCCTTGCCCGTGGCGACATAACCCTGTCGATGCCGCCGACGTCAGGCCCTCCAGCACCTAGAGGAGAATGGTTCGGAGACGTATCGACAGATGCGTGCGTTCGTCCTGCTTTGTCGTGCATGTGTCCATCGGATGTGGCTCTGGATCTGGTTTCCATGGTATAAGAGCAGCACCGCTATAGCTCGCGACTCGGCGTTTTCCTTGGAGATTGCATATGCCTGTCTCGTTATTCAGAGAGCTAGAGTGACCGACTCGTCGAATGGCGAGTCATGGCGACCCCCCAATCTGCCACTGGGACAGGCTAGGGCACCACAGTGGAGACCGCCATGTGTTGGCGGGGTCGAGTTTTGACAGGCTGAGAGCCCCACTGGCAGGGCAGGGCGAAGGTGCGGACTTATCCGTACCGGCAAACAGGGTGGGAGCAAAAAAACAAGGCATCCCTAACCGAGGAGAGAGGCGGCGTGAGAACACGCTAAAAGGGACAAATACGGATCCGTAGGTTATGCCCATTTCCAAAGATACACTCCACAGCGGCCGTTTTCCGCCGCAGAAAGGCTGAATGCGGAATAAAATCAGGGGTCCTCTGTCTCCTCCCCTCTCTCGGTCTGGTCAGCTGAGTGATGTCAATCCTGCCTGGGCGGCCGATTCTGCCGACTGGCTGCTTACACAGTACGTTGCTTACTGAGTACCTAAGTACCTACCTGGTAGACGGAGTACTATTGGAATCTAGGTTCCGTGCTTTGGCATGTTGCTTACGGCGCAGCATCACGACCCAGAGTGTCGGGACCGATATTTAAACTGTCCCTCGCACTGCTCGCTGTTTTATTTTCGGCGTTCCAACGCAGCTTTGCGTAGCTATTCGCCTTCGCCCCTTTGCCCCTTCCCCCCTTCGCCCTGGTGTCCTTGATCAGCGAGATTTGTGGTGGGGTGTGCACTTACTTGCAGATTACATTACCTCCACTCCATGCGTATGTACAGAGATCGCTACCCTGCCGCGCCTGCCTCTGCTGTTGACGCCAATGGCGGGGGCTCCTCCCTGCACGCCATGCGGATACAAACTGCTTTTTCCTTGGTCAATCTACGGATACTGCGTAGTGCGGTATATGCTCACGCTAATGGAACTTGCCACGCGCAAAGATTGATAAACATGCGCTGGATTCTTCACCGAGAAAAAGAATTGCCAAGTGTGGCGATCAATGTCCACCACCTCTTCATCCCTGCTGGATGGCATGACCAACTTTCCAGTTTGACATCTTGAGTCGGGTCACCCTATGCGAACAGTTTTCTCACCCCTGCCCAACGTATGGCCAGTCGGGTGATTGATTGACAATGGGCTCAAAACTCCCTGCCCAGGTGCACAGGGCTGAGTCTGGTGTCTGTGCCCACAAACCGCGGATCTCTCTGCTTCGCCCATGGACGCGTGTTCCTCCCCACCTGGGTAATACGATAAACACAAGGAAGCCTACTGTTATTGGTGCTGTTACACTCCAATTATTATTATTACGACCTGTCACTGGTGCCGCCGCCGAGGATCCTGACCGACTGGCTGGAAGCTCGGCCAAACGAGGAAGGAGGGAATGTGAAGGTATCCCAATCAGAGCGGGGCAGTCCCTGCTCAAGTGGTCTCTGCGTTCCTGGACGGATCATGGATGGCGCAATCATCATTGATCGTCCCTGGTCGAATTCCGTCACAGTCCTTAGCCGCCTCGGACACGGGCAGGGTCGCCGGGGCGGGGCTTGTTTCGACAGTCGGCTCGTTGGGTGATCGGCAGGAGCCTCTGCCGAATATGCGTGCCGGCTACTCCTATTTCCCTTTTCTTCTCGCACTGCTCCATTTTTGCAGTAACCACGCCGATCCGCCGACCAGGTTGACAGCCCCGGCAAGCAGCGGCCCGAGTGGCAATGCATTGCTGCCGAGTCTGAATGAAAATCTCGAATCTTTCCACGCAGTAGCGTTTCCGCTCCCCTTCGGCGGTGCCTCGGCGAGTCGGAAATGTCTTTCTACTACGCAATAGTGTGTGTGTGTATGTGTACTGCAGGAATTCAACGCCCAGCCATTTCATCCGCGCTCTCTCACCAACACGGCTGCGATCCTCCACTGCCACGTTACCTCCCAAGCTTCTTCTTCGTCATCTTGTTACACTAAGTGGATTAGGCCGAGATGACGTTGAGGTGATGGAAATTCCCCATCCGCTCAAAATTAGTTGACGCGAACCCCCCCCCTCTTTCCTCCAAGAATATTCCCGTGGACATTTCAATTCCCGGCTCGCAGCAAGCTAGTCGATGGAGTCCAAGGGGCCTGGGCTGTCTAGCGACAGCCTACCAAGGCACCGGATTGCTCGGCATTCGCTAGTACGGTGGAGATGCCTCGAACAAAGAAGGGCTCTGAGCCACTGCCGTCGTCCGAACACCCCTCCTTCCCCCTTGAAGAACCCCTTCCGAGTTCCGACTTCAAGTCTCCTCGCGAAGTTGGGCCCCGACAGGACGCACACAAAACACACGGCGTTCCAGCTGCAGGGCGGAGCAAAATTCCTTTCTTGGGTAGTGCCGTGCCGCCTCCCCAAGATCATCCGTCGGCGGCGGCGGGGTGGTTTCCTGCCATCCATTGGCTACGTGTCAATGCTGCAAGCCTTGTGGAAACTCGAAAGCTGTGTTGCCTTGCAAGGCCCCCTTTCTCGTTGCTCTCCGTTGGCGCCGAATGTAAAGACTCCACTTGCCTCGGCAGCAAGGAATAATCATGGCAAAAATAAAATAAGGCTGGCCAACCGGCAGCATCCCTTTCTTTCTTCACCTATCTTGCCATTTCTCCCGTTTTGATCCTGTTTCTATTTTTGATGTTCTTTTCTATCTGTCCTCAAACGCCATCTCCTGATCCCAACTCAACAACACTCCTTCCAGTTAGACTCCCTTGAGACGTCGGTATGGGGTGTTGTTATTTCTCCGCCTATGATGTTACGCCTTGTGGGGCAACACAGAATAGCAGTCTTGGCGAAACCACCCCCTGAAATCATATCCAGCAGCCAGCGTGACATTGAACTTCCCGAAGTCTGGGGTTGACGCCGATGGCTATGTCACGGTACTCGCCCTGGCAACCCACCATCGTGAACATGCTTTCCTGTTGCGTCGTTTGGCCCGCTCGCTGTTTCTACCGCGTGGACGCATCGACTCGGCGGGTGGCCAGTCATCTAGGTAATTACTCCCCCGAACAGGATCAAATATCATGGGCGGGACTAGGACCGTTTTAAGGTAGAGCCCGCGATAGTTCATTCCACACTACCATGATCCCCATAATAATAAGGGCGGTAAGTGCCGTAATGTGCAATGACCATTCCATCAATGCCAACCTGCTCAGCCCGACCGTGGTGGACACCGTAGACGGCTACGGGACAATCCAGTCTTGTACTGTTCTTATATATCTGTGCGTCGTGATAAATTCACGGCCCGTCTTCGGCCTTGATCCCGTTCCCTGACGGGCGTGTCCGGATAACATGGGAGGCTTGGCTAGTGCACAGCAAGTCTGGTGCCAAGCATACCCCTGAGTTGAGGCTCCCACAATATCACTCAATGTCACCGTGGCGCTGGGCGGGGGGGGGGGGGGGGGGGGGGGCCGGGGGGGGGGGGGGGGGGGCGGCGGGGGGGGGGGGGGGGGGGGGGGGGGGCGGGGGCGGCGCG